ACATTGAACACGAGTTGCACAACGGAAAACTCTCGAACATCAAGTAAGAGACACACTCGAGAAATTATTGCCGAATGCTAGAAACATACGAGCCGTTTATTTTGAAAGTGGTGAAAGTCACTTTGTTTTCAAGTCGATATATTTAAGGGTTTGCGTTTTAACACGTTTCAAAATATGGATGCCAACTTTCGAGAAGATACTCTTCATAATTCATTAATTTCTAATTGTATTTATGATAATTTTTTAAATACAAAAATATTAAGTCAACCTATATTTATCTCGCACAAAAGTTTCAAATTTTTGTAATATTGATATAATAATCGTATTAATAAAAATTACATTATTTAAATAATTATGTGTTTTACTGAATGCATAGCAACGAATCACCCATTAATAGCAAAATTCACGAATGTTACATAAAACATGTTTTAATATCACAAAAATGAGGCGAACCTATTATTATTTCGGTAACTGTATATACGCGTAAAGAATCAAATTTATTGAAATAATTCTCCGTAAATGTATGTTTATCTCAGGATACTGATATTTTTCTCGGTACAAATAACTTCGTATAACAGAAAAAGCACGATTTTGATTATAAGATGACACACAAACGAACGTAACCAGCAGGGAAACAAAAGAAACGTGTCAATGTTTTTTGTTTTTAGAAAAATACAATTCCCTCCGAACAAATTTGTTTAGTTTATAGATTTAATATAAAATTTATTATATTATAATAATAAAATAAATAAAATAAAAAATAAAATAAAATAATTTACTATATTATATTATATTATATAATTTAACATAAAATAATATTAAATTTTAGTTTATAAATCTTAATATAAGTGCTGCTATCTATTATTTATTTATGAAGGAGAATTGAGACTATATTGATTTATCGACCGAAAGATCCTATGATAAAGCTGCGTGTGCGTTGCGTAACTTATTTTCAAGGAAACGCGAACTTACACCGATCGGCTTCTGAACCGTTCGTATAAAGTTCTGTAAAATAGGGTACTACATTTACTCTGCCCCTTTGTCAGTGGAGGTCTTGATGAATTTCTTGTTTCGACTATGAAATCACGACAAGGAAAGATGTATAAGTACGTAATGGCTAATAAATTAACGATTAAATTCTGGACTGATTAATTAAACGGTTACCAACGAGTCTGATGCAAATAACTTTTTGCACATTATTGTTGCATAAAGGCAACTGTGACATTACATTTCGATGCGTTCGAACAAATTCGTTATTTGATGCGTCGGCGCTGACTTCTGGAAAGAAGATCGCCTACGAGGCATGGTTCCCAATACCTTACAGTGCCGCGACAGACCGCATGGAACGAGGTTGCTCCTTTTCAATGAAATCAGGAAGTGATATCCATTCGAATACAACTAACATGTACAATATTAAACAACGTACTGCATGGCATACGTAACATTGTATCTAAAACTCGTCGATTTCTCCGTCTCTTGCCGATTTCTTATCTCCTCGAGAACGCAGAATTATTGATAAAACAGAAAGAATACGTGATAGTTATGTTAGTTAGTCACAATTGAAAATTGAATTTTAACTCGCGCTGCGTTGATTCGTTCGATTTGAACGTCGAGTAACTGCGCGTGCAAACAAACGTTTCCTTCGAAAATTAAGAAACGATTAATGTAGAAGTGTAGAATTATAAATCGTGTAATGCGAAATCCTGTACAGATATAGAACACTTCATCATCGAATAGTGTATTTAATCACATCGACATTTTACATTACACAGATACAAGTGTTCGGCTGAAATTTCGTTTTCTACGAGTACGATGAAAAAGATTCGTTACATATAGTCCAGCGAAGCATATAATATTTTAGTGTAAGTGTATCAAGAGTTGTGTGCGTGTCGACGACAAATTATTGAATGATTTCAAACGCGGATCTAAAGAACCAAGCATGGACGACGATATCTGTAAGTACCAAATACGTTGCATGAACGCTAATTTCATAGTTCTCCGGCAGCTGTATCGGATAATACGTCCACGTCTAGAATTGATGTGATTAGCGGACGAATCGGAGACAAAACGCTGTGGGAGGTCTTAATGCTAAGGCATAAGACGTGTTTCTAAGAATTGCGGTTATTGTCTAACGTTACGATTCGGCGTGGTTTCGAAATGCCCATTTTATGTTTTAAGATCACGTTCGATCATCGACATTTTTATCAATGAAAATGATAGAGAAAAATTACTGTTCGTACATTAAACTATTGTTTGGACTATATTTTACGCTTGGCACCGATATTTCTAACAACGAAGTTCATCGAAGTTTATGTAATAAACAGAGTGGAGCAGTGAATAGCGCTTCAATTCTTAATTTATCTTCAAATTACAAATGTATCATTGTTAAATTAACAACTAAGCTATAGTTGTAAATAAAACTATAGCTATAATATAGTATATAGCTATAACTATAGCTATGATATAGTATATAGCTATAACACTATAGCTATAATATAGTATATAGCTATAACTATAGCTATAATATAGTATATAGCTATAACTATAACTATAGCTATAATATAGTATCTGTCTCTTATACACATCTAGATGTGTATAAGAGACAGGCTATATACTATATTATAGCTATAGCTATAGTTGTAGCTATATACTATATTATAGCTATAGCTATAGTTGTAGCTATATACTATATTATAGCTATAGCTATAGTTGTAGCTATATACTATATTATAGCTATAGCTATAGTTGTAGCTATATACTATATTATAGCTATAGTTATAGCTGTCTCTTATACACATCTAGATGTGTATAAGAGACAGCTATAACTATAGCTATAATATAGTATATAGCTACAACTATAGCTATAGCTATAATATAGTATATAGCTATAACTATAACTATAGCTATAATATAGTATATAGCTACAACTATAGCTATAGCTATAATATAGTATATAGCTATAACTATAACTATAGCTATAATATAGTATATAGCTACAACTATAGCTATAGCTATAATATAGTATATAGCTATAACTATAACTATAGCTATAATATAGTATATAGCTATAATTATAGCTATAATATAGTATATAGCTATAACTATAGCTATAATAACTATAGCTATAGCTGTTAATAAAAATTAGTAGAGCCTGTGGAACTATGTTTTCATCAACTGAATGAACAGAATCGAACGTATAATAATAATAATAATACGGTCGTAAATCGAGACATAATATAGCCTAATTGAAAACGCTAATTCTTCTTGCACTTGTGACTTAATAAATTAAGAATATGCAACGGTTTCTCGGCAGGCGTTAATAATGTTCTTGTTACTTAAAACGTGATAATCGAAGATGATAATCCAAGATTCTTATTGCGAGTTTAAAGAATCATTTCCAAGATTAGAAATTTTCATAGTTACAATATGTAACTATTGACACAATATCTTCTATTTTTTCATTTTCAATTCTTCTTGGTATTTCATTAAAAATATAATAACAGCATACTATTATTCCTATCCATTTTTTTTATTATTATTGTTACAACAATATTGCATTACAATATAACATTATCGAAGCAAACTGTATAATCTCTGTAACACTTTTTCTATTTAATAAGTAAACAACGTATCGATAAATTTACTCCGTGTCTATATATAAAACATGCTAACAATATGGTTCTGCAAAAGAAATAATCTCATTATGATGATTGGTATGAACTCCGGAGTTGTGCGCATTGTGGGGACGCACGACCCACCTCCGTCTACCTGTTCCATTCGAGAGTCTACTTCTTTCGGTTTCTGAGATCCTGTTTACCTGTGATACATTGGGCCTTACGGTTCGCCAGAGACAAGCTAAGGGCCCACTTCACTGTCCCCGGACCCTAATTCTAATCCGGCTCTTTCCGACCCAAAATTGCAACTCCGGAATATCGCAAGAAATTGCGTTCTGACCAATCGATTTATCAGTCGTTGTAAATTTTCTATTTGTTTACTAGATAGCGTAAAAAAGCTACAATCTAATCTACTATTTTGTTACTTTCAAAACTATAATTTTCATGAATTATTGTTGTGCAGTTCAGCGTTTAGCAGTTCAAGGGAATATCTATTTGTCATTAAATAGAATCCTTAACAGTGTAAACATTTCTGTATGATTACAATTCATTATGAATTATTCTTTAAGACGCTATATTTGTAAAGATTAATTTCCAATTTATGTTTAAATCTTTTGACAATATTACCGATCACTTTTTACAATTACTTTATTATTCTTCTGTTTCGCCACCTTCGTTATTGTTATTTTACTTTATAGTTAAAATTCAGATGGTTCTTTTGTCGAAAGACTTTTAAGTATATTATTCCTCTCATCGAACGATTATTCATATTTTATTCTACTCCTTTCCATCGGGCATATATCGTATAAGACAACAATTTTAAAATTTCAGTAATTTGTCTATTAGCATGACAATATGGTTAACACTTATGTGGATAAAATGAATTTAAAATTGCGCACCTTACGAGTTACTTAATGAGACTAACATGATTATAACCATCCAATATTTATACCTTGTTTACAAGGTGGATGCTATATTTGATTCTCGAAAGCTGAAAGATAGAAGTTTAAAACTAATACTAGAATAAAAATTGATATTTCAAGGTGTCGAAAAATTGTGTGTAGAGACATTAAAAGAAAACGATAATAAATTACAAATAACAAAAAAATGAGACTAACAATAAAATAATAAATCATGCTTTAAATTTTTTGATTGACCTAATAAAATTACTACAATCCCCGCATTGTCTTCTATGTGGGCACGGATTCATCGCAAAGTCCCAGAACATGTAGGGAAAGGGACGGCCCACGGTGAAGAACGTAAAGGACCGAGGGAGGCCGAAGGACCAAGCGAGATAGACGCGTTCGTGCGTCGCTAGAGGTCGGTGGGGGTGGGGGAAGTTGGGCCTTACTTGTCCCGAGCGTCCGAGGTTGCCAGTTCGCTCGAGACTCGGCCGGTGTGTGGTTCGTTCCGTGCGTTCCGTTGACGTTCGTACAAGACCGAGAACGTTTGTCGGTGTTTCTTCGCACATTTTTTTTCGGTAGTGAACGTCGGGGTTCGTCTATCGTCCCAGTGATCATCGTCTTCGATCTCTTCCCTTTATCTGTCCCTCTCTGGCCTCCGCTCGATGACAGTCGTTCGCTCGAGGAAGGAACGATACGATCGTGGTTTCACGTCGTCCGTGCTTCAATCACGGCGAGAATCGTGAAGGCTCGAAAGAAACGCCATCCTCGGTTGAAACGAGACGGTAGACTACGAGAGAGAGAGAGAGATAGTTAGAGATAGAGAGATAGAGATAGAAACAAAGTGCAGAGTCGAAGAGAGAGAGAGAGAAAGTTAGAATTCCATGTGTGCGAGTGACGAGGTGTTTGCTTGTATACGGGTGCAGTGGTCTTCTTGACAGTGCCGAATCAACAAGTGTCGCGCACGGAGCGTCGATGTCGCGCGGTGTGTGTGCGCGCGCGCGTTTCTAACCTCATCCTCGAGATCGGTTCGGCTCGGTGGATATACGAACGCGGCAAGCCCTCGCTGTCCGTCCCCCCAGTACTCGCGTTTCGTTCGTGTGCATGCTGTGTTATACCGTGTCGAACGTGGTCTCTTATGTGATATCGTAATTTTCGTGTAACGTGTGCCCTTGGATACATAGTTACGTCGTTGATCCGGTAGCTGCGTCTCCGCCAACGTCTCAAGATGGAAGTCGTTTACATAGGTACGTCATCGCGCGCGATTCCAGGCTGGTGTATCACGGGCCCGGAATCCCGGCAATCTTTGTTACTTTTACTTCGTAATCGGCCCCGTGTCACGTGAGTTAACGCCACGGTTTACTCTGCGGTTACGTCTTATCTGCTTGGCGACTTGACAGGTTCGCTTTTACCAAGAATCGCTCGGGCGACGGATCTTTTATTCCCGCGTGCAAAAAGCCGGTAGCTATATTTTTGATCGGTTTGTTCGTTCTATGGTATTGTCGACAGACCTGGATAAAACTATTTGGAAAAGTATTGGAAATAGTTAATGAGATACTGTTGTTTGTGTGAAATAATATTTTCAGATTTATTTGAAGTTATAGATGAGTATGTATGTATGTATTAGGTTGTTCGGAAAGTTTGTTACACATTTTATGAAGTTCATTTCATTGAATTTAAATAAAACGTTTAAAACGAACCTTCCGAACAACCTGATAAGTGTATTGAAAATTAGTTATTTATGTTGTGGTAAAGAAAGTTATTAATTCAAATAGCATTTTCTTAAGATGTACCGGAAATAATTATTTGAATTTCTATTAATTGTTTGAAGTACCATTTCTTATGATTAATGTTTAC